CTAAATACTTATATTTATGTATTTATTTATAAAGTATTCATACATCCTGCATTCATGCGACATACATACAAACATATATTTCATATAAATTATTTTATACCTTATTTATTTATGTTTACCCTTTCTGTTTCTTTCTTTTACAGACTACTTTGCAATTACTCGTACTTCTCGTAAAAAAAAAACTAAAAAAAAAAATAACAGACAAGAGATAACGTTAAACTAAAAAAAAAAATCGTTTAAATCTGATAGCCGTAACTCGATCATTTCGCGCCAAATAAATAAATTTAAATGTGCAGAAAAAGTTTCCCGAAAAAATAACACATATTCGTAGATACACACACACACATGCACGCATTTAAAAAAAAAGGAGGACTAAATTTCTTGTGAAGATAAACATTCAAATAAACGTTGAAGTTGTAGTTTTTGCGAAATAATCACAAATTTTTGTGTTAAACCAAAATAGCTGCACTTTAAATTCAACATACAAAAAATAGAACTTGTTCCAACGCTCACTCCATATTCCACCAAAATCGTCAACTTCAGAAATCCATTTGTAACAAAAAAAAAAAAAAAAACTACATAAAGTATCAAAAGACTGACAAACATTTGACTAACTCTTGCGAGCTACAAGAGTAGGGAGAAAGAAAGTGAAATAAGAAGGAATTTGTATACAATGTGGTTGAGCTGGAAACTACCACAATGACAATTGTTGTCACACAAATAAAAGTGAAAATCAGCTCACGAACGGAAGGCTTACTTAGAATAACTAAAAGCAGTTGAATTCTTTCTGGCATCTCTCCTAACTTTTCGATATGCTTTGAGCTATATTTTCGTACATTAGTCGCTATCCAGCGATATTTTGCGAGCTCTATAAAGCTGTATATGATTCTCATTCGATATTCTTCAGAAACAGTTTTAGAACTCGCTGAAAATTTCTTCGAAGATCACTAATTCCGCACAATGGCGATCAAAGCCTCAACATTTATTCATTCAGCTACTGAGCTACTCACTCAGCAGCATCCACCTTCTTGATGTCTGCATAAATATTTACATATGTTGAATATGGATCTGTGGATTCTGCCCAATACGCGATCACTGATCAGATTCCGAATTCCAAAGAAATTTCTGAGCACCAAGCATTTTTGAGGTTCGATAACAGCTGCTCATCTTAGCTTTATTTATAGATCTGCTTTATTCATAGATCTGCCTTATCTGATTTCGTGATCAGTGATCGTAATTTACGAAATTGGCTTATTTGCATTCCATTTTCATGCCTTATTTGCAGCTGTGACAACATTAGTTCATTACAAGATTCCTTCTGACATTCTGACAGACAGGTTCGCTCGTCACTTTCACCTACTCACCCTAAAGTCAGTCTACATATCTGTGAAATGTGGTTGCTGTTGTTGTTGTTTCGCTGCAAAATTGTTTCGTTATATTTTCACGCCAAAAGATATATTTTTGTCTTTGGTGCAATTTTTATTTAGTTTTTAAAAATCATTTAAATCATTTTGCGAAATCATTAGCAAGCGAAGCAGATTCTCAATTTCACCACCAAAAACACTAAAATCCACAAAAAAAAAATAAACAATTAGTAAATGACACCCATACGCATACATAAATGAGCTGAAAACATCTAAATTTAAAAGAAAAATATACAAACGAAAAAAATAAAAAATAAAAATTGAATATTAGGTTAAAAAAGTGGAATAAGCAAAAAAATTTAAAGAAAAAGTACAAATTACAACGATAAGTTCATCAAATCAATACAGCACGCACGGCGAACAATCATCAACAAACAAGGAGGTGTCCAGAGCAGCAATTGGCGGCCAGCGTATGCGAGTAGTAGTAGTCAGCAGGGCGTAAGTGGTAAGAGCACAGTGCGAGGGCTGATTGTCAAAAAGCAGTGAGGACAAAGTAAAAGAGCGCGCGCGCCATTTCCACCAGTCAGTCGTCAGTGCACTTCGTCTGACTCCGAGCAAATTTCGCTTTGTGTAATCTATGCAAATCTTGCGAATTGAATACCCTGCGCGCTCTTTTACGTTACTGCAAGATCAGACTCCAAAAGCCGTCGCTAAGAAAATCTAAAAGTGAAAGCGACTGAGGCGTTGCCAATCCATTGTCAAGTTAAGTGATCACCGGCAACACCATTGTGTCGTTGTTGGTGGCGTTGGTGGCGGTGTGTCGTCGGAACTGTTGTTGGTGTTGGTCGTCGGTGGTCTGTAGTCGCAGTGGGAATTCTCGGAAAGCCAAAGTCTGTCTGTATCGTAGCTGAGTGAAAGAGTAGTAGAGTTTCAGGCACCGTCGACTAACGCGCGCGCCAACTACCGTACCAACGCACCCGTCTCGTACGCCCAACCACCTGACCGACCACCTGCTCGCACAATTCACTCTTCCGTCGTCATTCAACGCACCAATCACTAGATCACATCCTACACAACGTAGCTCGCGCGAAAGCAAAAATACTGCCCATTGGCTGCCGACGACTCTCGAATAGATTGGTCGAGACTAGCTGCATTGCTTTTGCGCGTATGTAGAATATCGGCCGCGCTATCATCGTCATCGGCATTGCCATCATCGAATATTTCGACACAGTAACACAATATGGCAACACCACAAGTCAAAGATTTGGTGTTGCGTTCTCCTGCTGGCTCCTCTGAAGTGGTCACCTTCCCTTGGCCCCTACAAGTTGGCAGCGGTCAGGACAAGCACGACAATGGCATCGATATTATCGACACGATCAAGTTCGTGTGCGAAGAATTGCCAAGCATCTCATCCGCATTCGAAGAGATTAATCTCAATCAAATTGACACTGCCTGCTATAAGACTATGACAAATCTTGTCGATCGATTCAACAAGGCTGTTGACAGTATTGTTGCATTGGTGAGTATTAACTATTTTAACTATTTTAAATATACCAACTTTAGCTGTAATGGTAACATATTGTATGTATTTACGCTTGATATAAAAATGGGACATAGAATTTGGCTGCTTTGAAATCTGGACATTTGTGCTAATTTAAAAACTTACTAAGTTTTATTAATCCAAAATTTTACTTTTACTTACTTTGTACTTTACCCACTCATTAACTCGTTAAGTCTCGTAGTCCACTACCTGAGTGGAGAGAAACATGATCAACCTTCCCTCTCCAGTTCGCCGGCGATCTCGTTCATCGCTGCCAAGAGTGGACGAATTTCAAAACACTCCTTGACAAACTTGTAGGTGATCATCCTACTGGAGATTTGCATATTTTGGCGCTTATAATTTTGCTAAATGATTTGCCGAGCTTCTCCCCCAATTTGTGGCGTTATACAAATGATGTTTTTATGCAAATGGTGGCTCCTACAGTTTTACGCCGCCTCCGAACGGCAAATACATTTTATGAGAAGCATTTTCTTGGCAGTCTGAGGTTTGCCATTGCCTGCCGAGGGGTGATCATTACTTCGAAAATACCTTTTTCTATAATTTTTGTTTGGATGTTGGTTTCACCAGGTATTAAACCTTGGTCCTGCGGAGTGGAAGCACGCACCTCTAACCACATGGCTACAGCGGCCCATATTGTCCGTTTAGTTGTCTGAAAATATAAGTAAAAAGTCCTCTGAAAATCTTCGGACTCTCTGTCCATTGTAACAGAAACTTTAGTGCCGGGTCCATAAATACCCGCACCTGTGCTGTCCTCCTTTCTTGGACCGTCTCTGCGTACCAATAGATACTTGAAATTATATTGTGTAGAGGAATTTCTATATAAAAATTATATATTCTCATATTTTAATTTTTTACTTTGTTAAAAAATAGTACTAATTTAATAACTGAATATTTACTTCTTGCTCTCTCTCTCTCTCTCTCCTTCTCTCACAGGAAAAAGGAACTTCACTGCCCGCTGAGCGTTTGAATAAATTCGCTCATCCCAGCTTACTTAGACATATTTTGCAATTAGTCTATAATGCTGCCGTACTCGATCCGGATAAACTCAACAATTACGAACCCTTCTCACCCGAAGTCTATGGCGAGACATCGTATGAACTTGTCCAACAAATGATCAAACATGTGAATGTAACCAACGATGATACATTCATTGATCTGGGTTCGGGTGTTGGCCAAGTTGTACTACAAATGGCCGGCTCTTTTCCGCTTAAAGCGTGCGTGGGCATCGAAAAGGCAGATACGCCCGCCCGCTATGCCGAACGCATGGATACGTATTTTCGTCAATTTATGGCGTGGTTTGGTAAACGCTACTGCGAATATAAATTGATAAAAGGCGATTTTTTAGTTGACGAACATCGTGAGAAGATTACCTCATCTTCATTGGTTTTCGTAAATAATTTTGCCTTCGGACCGAATGTCGATCATCAGCTGAAGGAGCGTTTCGCAGATTTGCGTGATGGTGCGCGTATTGTATCATCGAAATCGTTTTGTCCGCTGAATTTTCGCATTACGGATAGGTAAGTTGGTGGAAGAAATTACTCGGATTAAGGAGAAGTTGAAGTTTAAATTCAAAAAAAAAAAAAAAAAAAAAAATTAATTAAAAATTGTCTAAAAAAATGTATTCGAAATATCTATACTAGTTACTGATGATTAATTTAATGCGTCATAATCAGCTTATGAAGAGCCTTAAAGAAGTCTTAACTCGATTCAGAAATCCATTAGGGTGTTTGGTGCCATCCAGTGCATGTGTTTTGGCTTTATGGCTCATAGTATTTATACTATCTCTTCGATATTGCCTTGCATTCGGAGAGCTAGACTCAGAAATCTCAGCTCCCGCGTCACAAAAACGGCATGAAGCGCTCGGTTAGAATAGATCTTAATTTTGTAAAGGTAATTTTTAATTTGCAATGACCTGTTTGCATACCAATTACATTTTTTAATTTTTTATCCGGCATTGCCAAGTAAATTTATTCCAGTGCTATTCGTTCTTTCTTCTATTCTAAGCTCTTTTATGATCCTATGCTCAAGAGGTGCCATGGCCCGATTGGTGTTGCCTGCTGCAGCCTTCCTGACAATCATGCCCGCCTCGTTGCCTTCTATGCCTTTGAGTTATAGAATCCAGAGGAGGAAGACTTTCGATAAGATATTTAGTCTCTCTACTCTACTTTAGTCCACTGGGCAATAAATTAATAAAAAGCTACGTTAACCTAAATAGTCATTTACTTAGATTGTTTCCTTTTTAACAGCACACATTTTTTTGTCATTTTGTCATTTCAATGCCTAGTCGAACCTCAGCATAAGCGAGATAGTCAAGATGCGAATATAATTTTTGTTTCTGCTCTTTCTCTTCCACAGAAACCTCAGCGACATCGGCACTATAATGCATGTCAGCGAAATACCGCCACTCAAGGGTTCGGTCTCATGGACCTGTAAGCCAGTATCGTACTATTTACATACAATTGATCGTACGATATTGGAGCGTTATTTTCAACGCCTGAAAACTCAAAAAGGTGCTGAAAACGATCATGTCGGTAAGTACAAATGGGTTCGATATCAATGAAAACATGAACAAAAAAAAATTATAAAAATATACATAAAAACATGCCGTCAAAGTGAGCGGCTTACCAGACAATGATAGTTAAATAAAAGTATAAAAAATAGCTTCCAACACAAAAAATTAAAAAGCAAAAACCAAAATAATAAATCTAGGAGAATTACAAAAATTAAAAACCAATTTAAAAATGGAAAAGAAATGTAAAGGAAATACAAAAAAATTTATAATATATTAAAAATAAATTAAGTAATTAAATTATAAAAAGAAAAAGAAAAAATTATACAAAACACAAGTAATTGTTAGGCAAAAAGCAAAACCGACTTCAATTCTCATATAAAAATTTAGGAATACCGTTAATTTTTTCATGATCCAATGATCGGATCTAAAACAAATTAGTATGGGACCACCTCTGAGGTACCACCTTTCCTTAAAAAAAAAGAGAAGAATTATAGAAATCGGTTAACGTGGTCCAAAGTTATGCGGTAAAATACATAAATAAAAAATATTCCGACAAATTAATAACCTCCTCCTTTTTTTTTAAGTCAGTTAAAAAATGTTCATACACCACCAACGAGAAAAAAATAGTCACATTTACTAAAACGAATTATAAAAATAATATACATACATACATAAAATAAACAAATTTAATAAATATTTACAAATAGAAATTGATAACAAAAAAACTTTAATAAAAACATTTAATAAAGAAATTATTAAAAAAAAAAACGAATCATAAATCATTAATTAAAAACGTGAAATAATTTAAACAAAAAATAATTTATGAAAATAAATTTAGTAAAAAAAGTCGCCTAAAAACTGTTATAAGTAAACCTATTGAGCTGCGCTTCGAACTAAATCTGAAAAAAAGAAAAAACGGAAGGTCTATTGTCCGAAAAAATTTACACAAAACAGTCACCCTACAACACACGGCATTTCAATCCAATTCAAATTCATGAAACACATCCGCTCAGTTTCGTTTATGTTCCTTCCAGCATTTTGTTGGATTTGCAATTTTAATTTAAAAAAATATGTTTCTACTTTATTTGTTTTGTTAATTCTGTGTATCCCAAAAGGCGAGACCAATTATTTATGTTGTGTACCGATTTTGCGCAAAACGTCGTTGGCGCCTTCCCCTACCCCGAAACATTTCTTTCGTCCCTTTAACTAATCAAATTCTCATTTTCTCTTCTCTTCTTCCTTCTTCCAGGTTCCACGCGTACCACACGCGATCGTGCCAAACGTGAGGCTAACAATCACGCACTCAACAATCATCACCATCATAACCAAAACCAAAACAACAGCAACAGCAACAACGCGCACTCTAGCTCCTCCGCTGCCAACTCGTCATCTTCGAACTCCTCCAACAGCAACACGCAACGCACCAATTCGCCGGCGGCGCATCTTAACAACAACAATAGCAACCACAATCAGTCAACGGCAACAGCAGCGGTGACGGCGACGACAGCATCGTCGGCGACAACAACTTCCATGACGACGTCGTCCAAGGCCACTCGAAATCAACAACAACGCGAACAACAGCAAGCCCAGGCGCATCGCAATAATAACAACAGTAACAGCAACATGGACATGGACACGTCGACCGAAAGCGAAGGCGAAGCGGCGAATGGCAGCACAACTGGCGGCACCGCCAACAGTAACCGGGGGGCCACACGCAAGATCTGGTCCGACTGGTGCAGCAGCTCGAAGGGCAAGTCGTCGCAGTCCGATGATGAGGAGAACAATAATAATAATTTTAGCAGCGCCACGACGACGACAACGACGACGGCGCGTAACGTACGCACCACCGTCACGCAGAAGAAGCGCAAGAAGCTTACGCGCAAGGCGGCAATTGCTAGCAAGAGCGCTGCTGCTGCGGCGGCCCAACGTGAAGTGGCCGCTGCACGCGAGGCGGCAGCACAAGCGGCCGCTATTGCAGCCGCTACGGCGAACAGCAAAGACTCTTCGTCGAAGGAGGATGGTGGCGCTGGCAGTGGTGGTGGCGGCGGCGGCGGCGGCGTACGTGGTCGCAAGGGCCGCATGAAGAAGGGTGCGCGCGGACGCAAATCACTGAAGATCGCCGGGCTGGATGTGCTGCACAAGCAGACGCTGTTGAGCACGTCACACGAGGTGCTGAGCAAGAAATTGCCAGCGGCACCAGGCTGTGTGGACCAACAGCTGACGTCGTTGTTGACGCGTAACATGTCGCACACGGAGTTGGAAATACCGGAGGCGCCGCAGGATACACCGTATGCATTGCAGATTCTATTGGATGTCTTCCGTTCGCAATACATGGCAATGATAGATCAGATGAAGGCGAGGTCGTTTGTGCCGAATATAAAACGTCAAATACAGTTGGAGCAGGAGCGCAAACAGCGCATTAAGAATCGTGCCTGCCAGCTGGACAAACAGATTAAGGTGCTAATCGATGATAGTGTGATGCTGCTAAAGGCGCGCATGAATGAGCTAGGCATCAATGTGACCTCACCGAATGATCTGATAACAAAGGCGAAGGAGATCGTGGGACGACATAAGGAATTGCAGGGCATCGCAAAGAAGATACAATCGCAGGTCACGGCCTGTGAGTTGGAGCAGAAACGCATGCTAAAGAAACACCTGCAGCATTTGCCGGATTATCAGCAGACCTGCGGCACCAATGGACGCACCAAACTGGAACTGCCTTCTGGCAGTGTGAGTGAGTTAAGCGAAACCGCTGCGCACGAGTTGGTTCTGAAGGAGATCGCCAACACGTTGGCGCAACGCAAGAAGTTGTACGCGCAAGTGTCGAGCATTGAGAAGGAGGCCGCGCTTCTGGAAAAAGCCGCCGAAGAGCGACGCACTGCAGCGGCGTTGCTTGCTCAAGGCACCAACATGATATTGGCGACCTCATCGCCAGCGCTAAGCGGAACGCCAACAATGATGCCCGCCACGCTAATACCAGCAGGTACCGGTGGCGGCGCGACACAACCGCTGCAGCTGACTACTATGACGGCATCAAATAGCACATCAGGTGCTGGTGCCGTGTCCCATAGCGCGCCCACAACGCCTAGCAAATCTTCAGGGCATGCTTCGTCTAAGAGCGCGCGCCGTAGTCGCGATCATCGTACGCGTTCCCAGGAGTGGCCCGATGTGCCGGACGTAGGCAAGATCGAGGAGAGCAATCCCGAGGTATTGGCGCAAAAGATACTGGAGACCGGTCGTCAGATTGAGGCAGGCAAATTTTCAGCAACTGCCGGTGTTGGCAACTCGTACAACAATGCAGCGCTTGGTGCTGGCCCGCAAGTAGGTGGAAAGCAACTGCCGCCGCCACAGGCCGCACACATGCACCATCATCACCACAACAATAACAATATGGCGCAATACCACGAGGAGGTGCCGACAACACCGCCGTCAAAGAAGAAGCAACACGCGCGCAGCTCGAGCAGCGAGCATTTACCATCGGTTTCCATTTATGTGGCCGATAGCAATCTGATGCCTGCGCCCATAGCTGCAGGCAAACACCAGCAACAGCTGCCACAGCAGCAGCTGCAATCACCTTCCGCAAGTGGTAACGGTTTGCGCAGCGCGGTCGGCATGCTGCCGAAATGTGAACTGCCTGGCGCGCGCAAGTCCTTAATGTCTGCTGCAGCTGCTGCCGGCATACAGGAGTCTCCCAAAGTGGCTAACTTCGAGGACCGCCTTAAGAGCATTATCACTTCGGCGCTAAATGAGGATCAGGAACATCGCAAGGCGGCCGCACATCAAATGCCTGGCTCGTCGTCAGCCACCCACATGCATGATTTGAATTTGTCCTCCGCTCCACAGCAATCGTCTCCGGCGACGAAGCGCAGCAAACACTCAGCGTCATCTATGAACAACATGAATCAGCAGCAACACGCGCACCAGCAAATGCACATGCACCACCAACAACACGCGCACCACAATCATTTGCCGCCGTTGCCACCACAGGCACAGCCGCCAAACAATTTGAGCAACCTCATCACCGTCGCTACCCAGGGGCCAACACATTTGAATGCTAACACCACCATATCACCAATAACGCCACCACTCTCTACCGCCAATAGCCAATACGGCAGCGGCGGCGTGGGTGCAGGCAAATATGGCGGCGGCAAGCAACAGTCTTCCGCTGCAACGGGCGGGCAGAAAGGTAGCACTGCTAAATATCAGCAACAGCAACACAATGTGCACCTTCAACAACAACAACAACAACAACAGCAGCAACAGCACTTAGCGCATTTGCAGCAGCAGCAGCATGCGCACTATGGCTCTGCCGCGGCAGTTGGCGCCTCACCAGCTGACTTGGCCTTCCATCATCGTCGTCGCAGCTCTGTCAGCGCGGCAAGTTACGAACACTACGCTGCACAGCAGCAGCAGCAGCAACAACAACAACAGCAGCAGCAGCAGCAACATCAAGCAATGATGATGGCTGCCGCTGCTGCAGCTGCTGGCGGCGCGCCATCCCATCATCACCCAGGTGCCGGCCATCAACATCTGATGCAACAAATGGAGTTCAAAGCTCCCGGCGTTGCCGCGGAAAATCTCATCTTAAGCGCATCGCAACGTTCAAACAGCCGCGAGCAACTTGCTGAGGAAGTGATCGTGGCGCCACGCTCCAGTTCGGCCAACTCAGATTCGGCCATTATGTACTACCCACCGACACGCGATCGCCTTATGTCGCTCGAGCGCAGCAATAGTCGCGAATCCGCGGTCTCACAACCATTACCGCCACATCAGAACAACAGTGGCGGCGGCGGCCAACAACCGTTATCGCAGCCGAGTCGTCCGAGTTCCAACTCATCACAACCGGATTATACGCAGGTGTCACCAGCGAAAATGGCACTGCGCCGTCACCTTTCACAAGAGAAACTCAATCAGCAAATGCCGCCTACAGGCGCAGCTGCTGGATTGCCACTCTCAACGAAAACCATTGGCGATCTGGTGAATGGCGAAATCGAGCGTACGCTCGAGATATCGCATCAGAGCATAATCAATGCGGCAGTAAATATGAGCACAGTCGGTGCGCCGCCAAATGCTGTTGGCAGTGCAGTTGCTGCCAATACTTACATAGATCGCGCGGCGCATGACCGTCTGCTCATCAATCCGAATGCGCAACGTCCCGAGCGTGTGCACGTGCGTGTTTTTGATGAGCAAGCGGCGCATGTGCAAGGCAGCGCAATAGACGTCTCGCCGCGCACTATGGGCAATAGTAGTAGTAGTAGTGGACGCAAATCGCCACCTCCTACTCAGGCCACACACAATTTAGCAACGCTAGCGCATGTTGCCTACAATCACAAGCCAGCGACTGGTAGTGCTGCGGCAGCCACAACAGCACCAGCATCATCGAGTAGTGGTCGAGGTAATAATATCAGCTACAATGCTGCGCGTGACATACAGAATCAGTCACTATATCAACAACAAATGGCTGTGAGTGCTGGAGGTGTAGGTGGTGGCGGTGGTAGGGAAACGACTGCCCGAAACGCTGCTGGCGGTAATGTTGGCGGTGCTAGTAGCGGCTCACGTGGTCGCGACTATCAGCCGGTTAGCTTGCCACGCGCCGAAATGAAAGGCTGTATCGAAGCATATTTCAACGATGAACAACATCATCATCAGCAGCAACAACAACAGCAGCAGCAGCAGCAGCAGCATCATCATCATCATAATCAACAATCGCATTCGCATAAGTCGAGCAGCAAGGAACGCAACAGTGGACGCGGAAACCGTTTGAATGGCAGCAATCCGCCGTTGGAAGGTGAGTGATGGAAGTAGTGTCATTGTTTTACTTGCGAAAAGCGAGTTAGTATTGTTAATCATCTCTAAAAACAACGTTTTCTCGACATACATAGTTTAGCTCTTTTCTCTGCTAACTGAAAATTAAATTTCTTTTTTTTATAGATAAGCGATAAATGTTATATTAGGTTTGTTCCACACGAGACCGCGGGTACCATTTTTTAGAACAGATTTGTTGATTCCGGGCACGAAAAGTGGTTTTTTGCGTTTCTCATGCTTTGGGCACTTTTGGCACGGGTTGACACATATTTGACACTTGTGAGAGATTAACTTATTTTTACGCTCTATTTACCGAAGCAGGCGTGAAAGCTTGTAGAACAAACCAATTGCCATGGCTAGGTATTTGTGAAGGGTTTTTTTTTTATAGATGAAAATGGCAAGTGGCAGCCAGAAAAGCCCAAACTTGAGGGCTCATTGTTGAAGTTTGGAAATATATAATGTAGGGCGATTCTAGGAAACGATATACATACTATTTATGTAAATATACTACTAATATAAAATCTATAAATGTTTATATCGAGATCAATGAACATAGACAAAGGTTTTTTTCGAGGTCGATAAACATCGATAAAGATTTATTTCGAGATCAATGAACATCGATAAAGATTTATATCGAGACCAAAAAACAACAAAAGACATTCATTTCGAGATGTTTGTCGATCGATAACATGATAACGATTTGTTTTGAGACCGACAAACATCGATGAAAATTTACGTTAATATGGAAAGGCCCTATCTCCTCACATCGTCGCTGAAATACAAAAAGCCGTAACTAAGTAAAAATCCAAAATTCCCGTTTTGTTTGATCTTGATGCATTTCATCTAATTAGAAATCCACACATCATTTTAAGCAATAAAAAATTTTAGTCATTACATAAGTTCGGGCCTTTCTATATCATGGTAACGATATATAGAGCTCAATAAAAATCGATACAAATTTCTATCGATAATAAAAACCATAACAATTTCAGTAAATACATGTGTATGCAAATCGATTGTTAATACATCTGCATGCATATCGATAACAAAATTTGATAATAGCATCGATAAATGTAAGTAAATGTACATACAAACTTTGGGAATTTAAATTTTTCCGATCATATTTGATAATCCTAGGTTTATTTTTGCCTTCTTTATAACTTTTTCTGTGAAATGTTATATTATTGATGAGAAGTAAAGTCCTCTCTCGTCGTACAGAAATCACACTCTATAAGTCACCCGTTCATGCCCGTTCTGGTGTATAGCGCGGAGGCATGGATGATGAAAACATCTGATGAAGCGGCTCTTAGAGTTTTCGAGAGAAAGATTCTGCGACAGATTTACGGACCTTTTTGGGGAGTGTTGCTGCAGTGGCAGTTCCGACTGTCGTGGAAACGGACTAGGTCATGTTGTTCAAATGAACAGAAACGCTTTAGCTCTAAAAGGAAAGTCTCCTCTGCGTTGGAAAGATTAGGTGGCATTACTTTGCATTTCCAATTGGCACAGAAGATAAGCTCGTCCAAAATCGCTTAGGTAGTTACAACACCAATAAAGAAGAAAGAATATGAATCAAATAGGATTATAAATGTGGCTTGAGGAAGTAACTCGAGTAAAGCGCTACCTTCCAGTGCTAGCAACTCATCCAAGTGATCTCAAAGGTATAGAAACCCAAAACAGTCAAGCCCTATAGGAAGAGAAGTATCTCGACAAATGCATACCGGTTTTTATATATATATCCATAGTACAAACCCGGGTATTGTGGTTCTGCAAAACCTCGTAACTGACACTGACATTCATCCCAAAATATCGATAGAGATTATTAGGGATTGAATAGAGAACCGTTTTGAGATAAGGCAGATTTTACTCTCTCCTGTAAAGTTTGGGCAAACTCTCGTACGACGTTTTGCATTATCTTGATGTGCGGTTTTGTGCTTCAAACGATGATATGTACATACTATACATGTTACGTATTTAATTTCATATTTTATTCGTTTTGCTTTGATTTCGGTTTCACAATTTTCATAAATATTTTTTTTATGCTCCGCAGGCTTAGCTGCTTCTCTTCAGGATCACGTTATGGCTTCGCGCAAGTATAAGGAGGAGCATGAAGAACGTCAACGACGTGCTGCCGCTGTTTCAACCAACAACAGCAATGGCGACTTACATAACCAACACCTTCATCATCATCATCAGCAGCAGCAGCAGCATCATCAACACCAACAGCAGCAGCAGCAATACGTTCATAGTCAGTCGCATCATTACCAAAACCCGCAAGACACAAATACCACACCCAGCAAGGTGGAAAGTAAGTACTTTTATTTCGTCGCCACTCGTTGTATCACATTTATGAATAATAAATATTTCACTTCTCTCTAAAATAACAGTTGGTGTTAAACGTACTTCGCCCATGGCGAACAATCAACAGCCACGCCCTGCTAAAATGGCACACTACAACGACAACGTAGGTGCGCACAACCACCACCACCACCAACAGCAGCATCAGCATCAGCACCAGCAGCAGCAGCAGCTTCAACAACAACATCTCAGCAACAGCAATCCATATGCGAATATGAATGGAGTTAGTAGCAGCAGTGCATCCGCATCGGCCGGATCTTCACAACCACAAAGCACTTCGCTATCGCCAACATGTCGACGCAATGTAAAATTGCCGCTCGAACCATTGCTAATGAGTCCGGAAATCAATTCGATAATGAGCGGTGGCAGTGCTGGTGGTGATGAGCGACCGTTACAGCTATCGGGCACAGCAGCAGCCGCAGCGATGTCACGCCAACAGCAACACGAGCAGCAGCAGCAGCAGCATCGAACGATGACGACGACACCGCATAGCACAACACCGATTGTGGGTGGACGCGCCGGTGATGATGGTAAGAATTGATTGATTGTTTGCATCACAATTATTACCGAAAAAGCACCAAGGGTCGCGTACAACCTACGCTTAGTAGACCAATAGTCAATGAGCACAACAATTAAACGTACTGTATGCACTCGAACCGGAAATACTAAGTACATAAATAATATACATAGAAGCTTAGTCTAATCTAAAATGAAAATTGAATCGAAATAGCTCAATATTCAATGTACCTGATACAGTTTGATGCCCGAATAGTAATAGTAACGATAAACGACAGTCCCCGCGACACGTTAAAAGACTGCCATCATCACCACCACCACCACCACCACCACTACCACCATATTTACCTATAATCATATAATCATAAGTACAATAAACCTAACCGCATAATGCCAAATTGCCACCAAATACTAACTGGATTATTGACAATACTATATACCGTTCGCTAAAAACTGTGCTGTTATGTTCCGTACGGCCTTTTTTTTGTCCGCTTTTGTGTTAATGTTATTGTTGTTGTTGTTGTTGTTCACTTGAATGCTGTATGGCCATTTTATTGATTCGAATTTTGTTGTTAAAGAAAATTGTTTATGCCTTATAAGCTAAATTTTGTAATAATATTTTTTTTTTTTAGAAAAATTTCCTCATATCAATTAGTTTTTATTTGAATAGTTCATTTTTAAAATACATAAACAAATTGGCTAAGCATCAATTTTTACTAATAAGCTTACTGTTATTTTTTAAAAAATATTTTTGATTTTGCATTCATTACCTACAAAAAAAAAAAAAAACAAACAATGCCTTTATTTAGTATATAAGCACTTTATTGCACCGTTCAAATTATACTTTTTGGTTTGTGACACTGATTTTCTTAATTTTGCGCCTTCCTACATATTTAGTTTTATGTAAATTTCCAAAATTTTTGTATGCATTAAAATTTGATCAACGTATTTTTAATGTGAACGCACACAAACGCTTTTTTATTTTTTCCTGTTTCACCTAATTTCTTTGGTGTTTTGGTTTTCACTCTGAGGGTGCATGGGTTTCCTATTTCACATTTGCATTTATCGTATGTACCATTTTTTTGAACATCTAAATGGTTTTACTTCTTTGGTGAGGGCATATGTATGTGTGTGTAAATGTCAAAATATTTTAATATAAAAAGTTATAACCGGAAAACGACTCTTAGGACTTAGAAATAGCGCAACCACCAACGAAAGTCGAGTCAATTCAACCACAAGAAGTTTATGTATTCGATTCTGTATCACCTACACTCGTCGACAAAAAAAAAAAAAAATCCACCTACTTGCAAATCTTACATTTTCTCGTTTATATTTCAAAATAATTACCTTAATATGGTAGCGCTTCCTATAGTAATATTATATAACGCTACTTTACCTAAATTTCTGGATTGTTTTATCATTGTAAGCAGACGCTTCGATTTTTTGTTTAATTTTATATGAGTGAGTTGAACAAAGTCCTTAAAAAGAAACCGAAAGTTATGGCTTTGAATAAAAATAGTATGTTAAAGTGGCAAGCTTGGATAGGGAATTACATGAATTTTAAAAGTTTATTACGGAAACCCCTGGTCGACCGAGAGATTCTGACCGTTTCCAACATGTTAGAATTATAAACTGTATGGGCTTTTTCGAGTGGCAATCTCAAGCTCATTTGCGCACGATACTTTAACGTTTTGTGTGCATTTCTAGCAAAGTTTTATCACTTGAGCCATTCCAACAGTGTTGCAAACTTTAATCAGTGCTGCAGTATTGCCGCTTTTATTGCGAACGCGAACCTCAAACAAGCCCTAACTTCTGCGCTGCATCTGAAATAAAATAAAATTCGCGATGCATTCAAGAAGATAGTCTTCAATAACATGGGATTTCAAGTGCAACGCCCATTACAAGACTCAATACTCATTCCCGGAATGAATTAACAACGTCTGCGGTGAGCAAAAACTTGCGAAAAATGATCGGTTTCGAATTTAGCAAATGTTATTTTCCACCGATGAATCAAAATTAAATACATAAAGCCTTGCGTAGTTCCAAAACAGTAAGCCAGACACAAAAAGTTTAAGAAAGATCGTATTATTTTAGCAAATATATTTTTTAAATTGCGTGATCAAATGCTTTGAAATATTTTACATTTTAAAAAATCCCTATGTTCTGGGGTATTGTAAACAGACCAGAACTTAATCATGAATTTTATGAAAACCTTAGCTTTTATATCTTCTTTGTTATCTACCTTCCTTGTAAATATAAATATAATTAAAAGTCTTAATAATTTGAGTGCAAAGAAAAAGTTGTGTGTGGATCCCAAACGCTGCTGAAGTGAAGCTTCTCTTTTTCTAATATTTATCCGTATTACTATATTACTAGGGAACCCGCCTATATTACTAGTGAATGCTCGCTACCGCCCTTGTAGTAGGCTTAAGCAAACTATGATAATTATACATTCGAAGTAAAAGAAAAAAAAGAAAACTACCCTCTACGTCCTCACTCCTCACAGTAGTTAGAGCAAGATATACAATCCTTTACATTACATATTACACAAATTTTAATGAAAAATGTGGGCATAACGTCCAGAACGTTCTCGTTAAAGCGTCGATAATGATTTTTAACTGGGAAGTAGTGATAACCAGACATTGCACAAACGGCCCTTAAACTGTATCGAGTTATAATAAAATAAAATTAGTTATAACAAAAATGTACTAATTTGGCACTTATACTTTTACTAAGTGTTTGACCGAGATTCGCCTCCAATTTGTGGTGTGCGTCTTGATGTTATAGCACAAATCGTGGTCCTACAAACTTTCCCATTGTTAACCCAGTTTTCCAAGATCTTGGTAGCCACTTGAGTCCAAGTCCATGTCCTCAACAAATCGTTTAACATGCCTCTGTAGCGCTCACCCGTTGACCAAAATGGCGTTTCCAGCAGCATTTTAAAAAAAAAGAAGTCCAGTGATGCCGCCGCTTCAAAATCTGCATCAAACTGTTACCCGCCGAGGATTCAATGGCTTCTCGACGATCATGTGTGTGTTTTCCTTTCCCCAGATGCGGCAGTTATAACGAAGCGGTTGGTTGTGTGCCTTTTATTACTGATTCAATTGGACCTTGTCAGCGAATAATGCGCAAAATTCGCATTAGGCTGGTGCGTGAAATATCGTGTTGCTAACAGGCTAAACCTAATATTCGCGGCCTGCGTTTGGAAATGAGACTACATTATGTCCCAACGTTGTGTAAGCGTAAAGCAAAACATTTCATTCCGTGGGGCTATGATACTAACTTTGTGTCAAGAGATAGAGATGTCACTGCCAAAATGAATATTAAGAATTGTGCTGTATATGGGCCACCCTGCACACTCTGAGGTTGGCATTAGCTGTTGAGGGGCGACCGCTATTAGAAGACACTTTCTAATTTAGATGTTGCTTGGACATCGGGATCGAACCCAGGTCCTTCGAAGTTTACTTTACTCCAATTTTCACACCAATAATGGGGTATTTTATTACAATTATGAATAACAAGCCTCATTACGAGAGTCGTGTCGAATGCAAGTCGTTTTTCGAGAGTCGAATCGTATCGAAAATTTCATGTCATTGTCTAAAATTTCGACTCGACTAGTGTATTATAATGGAAAAACTTGGCAGCACTAAACAATTTTCGACGATTTTCGTCGTTTACTTATTTTAGCACGACAGTAGACAATGGCAATGTTGTCGAGTCGTATAATTTAGCCTAATTTTCGACTTACGCAATGAGGCTGAATAAAACCAGTTTAAAAATATATTTTATATGGATGAAAATGCGTGACACCGTCAGCAAAAAAAAAATATCGAAAATCAGTGCGATTTTTGATGAAACTTTGTGGTTTTTTTTTAATATTTCTACAAAGTTTGAGATTTGGATTCATCTGGTTTTTGCTTGATAATGAGCTATACTTTTATAAAAAAAAATTAATAAAAATAAAAAAAGGAAAATACATGTCAGAATCTGCTAAAATGTTGAGGTGCTGTCTTTTGTCGCGGGCTGCCAATCAGCTTCTACTGCTTGCTTTTTACATGCATACATATCAAACATTTTCTCTAGCCTTTAGCACCACCAAATCCTTACTTTGAATCGACTTCCGCATTTTAACATATATATATTTTCCTACACATTACATTCCAGTTTCCAACAATTCCTCCCATGCAATATCTACTCCATACCGTAGCTATGGCTATAACAAACTCAAAATTTAACTGCTGAAATTGGGTTAACAATATTTGTCCACACCTTACATCATTGTTGTTGTTGTTGTTGTGATTTTAATGTAAACGAGAAACCAAAATTTTATATAAATTTTATGTGAAGATTGGTAAGTGTTTTCTAAAATAGTTATTGGTTGCTTTCATGTTTTCTGAACTGTTTCGTTTTATATATTGCAATGCATGTTTTTTGTTTATTTACAACTAAACATTTTCCAGTTTGGTCTGAGTTATAGTGGCACAACCTGATTTCAGGGAAAATGTTGTACATTATTTTTATGAAAACATCACTAGAAGTGTCCCTGACAAAGGACGAAATTATAGAAACTTTTATTTTAATTTCCTTAAGAACTAAAAATGTACTGTCAATAGATTCTAAAAATTTGTCCCATTTAATGCTTTTAATTTTAGATTGTACCCTAAAAAATATTATCACGACTTATTTAACGCCACGGTGAAGGTTATAGGTAGAAACAAAGATAACGATAAGTACTGGTAGAGAGGAAAATTCTGGCTAGGATAATTGAAAGTCTTTTTTTGAAAATCATTAGGCAAGATAGTCGTGAACGATTTTGCTTATTTTGGCATGAAAGTTTCCTGCTCGCGCTGCTCCAGAAGTCGCAATGGTCGAGTGAGCAAAGCACTGGAGTGACATTCTCGAGATCCGAGGTTGGAATCCTAGGGCAGCGAATTTTTTTGTTTTATTTTAGATTTCATTGTTTTAAAAAGAAAAATATGTATATTTTTTAATGTCATTAAATTTTTAGCAACTGACTTAATTTTTTTATTTAATTTTTAAAAAAATATTTTTCTTCTATTGTTTTTTATTTTTTAAGAAAGAAAAATGTGTTTTTTTTTAATTACTAGTTTCGAACTTAATTAGTTTTTTTTCTTTTTTTAATTTGTCTCCCTTCTTAATTTAGTTTTCTTTTAATTTCGTCTTTTTTTAAGGAACTTATTTTATTTGTTTCCTTTTTTTGAATCTAATTTTCTTTCCATTTTCAGATTGTTTTAAAAATAAACAAAATTTTTTAATATTATTTACTTAATTTTTGGAAACTTATTGCTTAAAGACCTCCTCATCAGCAGATTTTTCAATTATTCTTTCCAAATACAGAAAAGAGTTTTCAAGATAGTTGCCAGAATTGCCTTTTGTGTTTTGAAAGACTGTGGTGAGTTGAGAGATAGTTGCCAGAATTGCCCTGAAATATTAAGATTGATATTTAGGAGATAATGAAGGTGAGAATGAATAAGAAGATGAAGGTGATGATGTGAGATGAAGGAGCCGATCAGGTTGGAAATGAAGATACATATTGATGAGGATTAAGATCAAGATCAAGTTGGAGACGAAGAAGAAGAATATAAAGGTGAAGGGAGAAGGAGAAGGCTCAGGTGAAGGTGAAGATGAAGATGGAGATGGAGATGTAGATGAAAACGTAGATAAATTTAAGGATGTAGGTGAGAAGATGAATATAAAGATAAAGACGAAGCTCCATGAAGAAGAAGATGTAGATAAAGATGAAGACTACGGTTTAGGTTAAGATTAAGATGAAAATTAGAATAGGATTAATATTAAGATTTATCGATCGGTGAGGCTAAATATCACACCGGACTCAAACTATCGTAGCTGTTTGGAAAGTGGCAACACTTTCTACACGATTTTAACCCTTTATGTACTGTGAGCCTATAATTAAAAAATTTAAGTAACGAATTGAGAGCATCCTCCTTTTTTAAAGCTGATAAAAAGAAACATATATCTAGGCATTCCTATTAAATTATAAAGAAACAAAAGGTAATTAAAAAAATTTAACAATATCAAGTTTTTATTAGTGGTTAGTAGAAAAAGAAGCATCGATCCCCTCACCACCTAACGACTAAATTTTTTGTGGAGTTATTCCGCATATGAACCAAATCGGGCCATAAATACGGAGTTTTCAAATATATCGACACCTGCGCTAGGGGATCAATTCATCTCTCCTATTGCACTGTTGGTTAAAAATTCATTGCAAGATTTGATTACACGCAGGTGAAACTTAAAAGCTTGTGATAACTTTTTAAAATTCACTTCCCTTAAACTCTTCCTATAAAACTTTTTTCCCGAAAGTTGTTTATGTTTAGTATGTAATTTAATTTTGCTTTGTTAAATATATTTTTACTAAGTATTTTTTCTCTTAAAAAATAATGTTCTTAACAATTTTTTGCTGAAAATTAGTTTTTTTGTAAGATCTACTTTTTCCAATTTTTTTTCTAAAAATTAATTTTCCTCTAATGTTTTGCAAATTTGTGTATTTTTGGTTAACACATTAGTTTTTAAAATTTTATGATAAAAAAGCTAAGTAAAAATCAGGCAATTAAAAAGCGGAAAAAATGTTCCTAAAAGGATACACTTCGAGGAAAAACAGCATTTATACATACATATGTATATCTACATTATTTTTTTGTTTGGATAACTCATTTAATTTTTTTATTTGAAATTACATTTTTTGTGCGACATGCATTTGTATTCAGTTACTTTGGGTTTTTTTTCTAGGGTAAAGGCAAAAAGTTTTCAAACTAATCCTCAATGCAATTATGGTTGTGGAGTTGAATACCTATTACTCTTGCCTTCAGTCCTGCATGCCCTTATTTTTGCTAAATCTTTTTCAACGGTATTAGGGATTAAAATACGATGTTTTATAAAAATGAAAACTTGCACTGGACCGCTCCACTTGCATTAGACACTTCACAATGCCTGCGCGTCCTTTACACTCACACTCACACTCACTGACATTCACTTCTCTCTGTTCGAACTCTAATCATTTAATAAATATACAGTCAATTATTTGTAAACAAACACTAACTGATTTTTCTTAACCTTTTTTCCTTCTCCCTCGTTGCTCGCTTAGATGACGTCATCGCCGACGATGAAACTCACTGGCAACACCGTGTGAGCTCCGGCTTCGATCGGCTGGTCGCTTTCGCCTCCACCGAATTGGATAAGACGCGTCGTTCGATAGACACCGATATAGTACCCTCCTCGATTAGCTGCAACACCTCACCCGACTCTGGCATAACGCACAGCAGCAGCAATTCAGATGCGGCACGCACTTTCCTCTCCACCTCTTCCACCTCCTCACAACTAGATATGCCAATGGGCAGTGGCGGCAGTAGCGGCAGTAGCGCCGGCAGCACCAGCAGCTCCAGCGGCGGCAGCGCAAGCTCTGGCGGCAGTGCTGTCAATAGCTATATGCATGGCCACCTACACCACCACCACAACCACCATCATCATCACTCACTGCTGCTGCATCAACATAGCAGCGGCAGCGTTGGCGGTAGCAGTCACGCTTCCTCCTCCGACCATCTCAGCGATAGCAGCATGAAATCATCGCACTCGGATGTCACCTCTATGCCACCCATAACGCTGCTGAAGACGAGCGTCGCGTCGCCAGTCGATGCAAGCGCCATCGAAAGTCCGCCGCTGTCCGACATTGGACTACCGCGCACACCTAGCCCGAATGCAGCAGTGCCAACGCCACCTTTGGCGGCGGCCATGGCTGCTGCACACAGCGTCACACCCACACCAACACCAACACACACGCCCACGCCAACACCGCCAGCTGGCACGGCCACCACCGCTGGAGATCCGTATGGCAACAATACACTGAAAATACCGTTAAAATATCAACGAAAGTCGAAATCTTCATCGGAGAAGCATTACAAGAAGAAATTCTGTGAGCGCAATTGGGAATATGATTGCGATGATTTACTGATACCGTATGCGAATAATAGTAATGATGCCACCAACAACAATGTGCACACGTCTGAGGGTGGTGCAACAGCGGCAGATGCGGCTGGTAAGTTGGTCGCCGGTAGTTCGATAACAAATGGCCCTACTTCGCATACCAAATCCAGTGGTGGAGAATCGAGAAAGTCGGCTGCGAACAGTGAAAAGTCGCCCAAATATCAGCAACAACAGCAGCAGCAGCAGAATGCCGTTGAGTCCAGCACCAAAAGCGCTGACCCGCTTAATCGCAATCACAGCAGCAACAGCTTGTCGGCGAGCGCAGCGGCAATGACGCAAAATCTATCGAATCACCATCATCACCATAAGTCGTCCAAATTTCGACCGAAGGGCAAGGATTGGGACTGGTCCATGGATAGCAGCAACAGCAGCGGCGCGGTGAATGTTAGCAACAGCGGCAATAGTGGCGGCGCTAGCAGCGCTCTGGGAGCGGGCAACAGCAGCGGCAACAAATGCAAGTCGGACGTAAGCGCTGCGCCGTCAGCGACGACTGCCACGCCCACAACAACCAATGTTAGTTAAGTGGAAAGTGTTGCATGATTTTAATTTTTTTCTTGTTTTTTTTTTCTGTTTCCTCGCTCAGCAGCCACATGGCAACAATTGGCAATACAATAACAATTTGCATAAAAATGTATACATATTTATTTTGTAGTTTAAGCGAAAAATGTTTGAATTGTATAATAAGTTTCGTTATGTTTTCGCTAAACTTTAACGCATTGTTTACAACTAACTTTAAGTTTAAAAATTTATATTTTTTGTAGTTAGTATACTAATTATTTTAGTTGAGTTGAAAGTGTTTATTGCAGACATTTGTTCAAGTGAAAATATTGTACAAAAAATTATTTTAGAAAGCAAGTATCGAGAAACTAAAATATGCTACGAGAAGCGTAGAAAGTTTTCCAAAACTTGAGTTTTTTGTTTTGAAATTTGATTTTTAGTATTAATTCTTAAAAAAAATTAACTATCCCGCTTAAATAGGTGATTATTATTATTTTTTTTTTATTGACCAATAAACTAAATACTTATGTGAAGTATAAAAAAGAAGAAAAATTAGCAAGCTGTGTCAGAGTAGATTGACTAGGATGAGTCGAAGGAAAAATCAGGACGATCGTAAGAGAACAACCCTCCCGATATGCTTACAGTTTATAAAAGGACAGTTTAATTTGGCATCAGGACGTCTGTTCACCCTATGCCAGAGAGTAAAAGGTGCTGTCAGACCGTGCAATGCAAGTTATTTCAAAAAAATCATCCAACTCAAAAATTTCGAAAAGTAGTAAAGTAACTTTCAAAAGTAATTTTTCATTTCTGAAAAGCGGTATTTGATATTTTTAGTTCGGCATTAATTTTTATTATTTCTCATTACTTTACTTTCGCAATTTGACAAAAGAATTCATAAAAAAATACTTCTATATTGCTCAAAGTACATTCCCCAACTTCGAAGTGCCGATATATTGAAAAAAGAAAGAGAGATGTAATCAAAAGGAAAATTTTACTTTTCATAATTCAGGAGCGATTTAACAAATTCTTATTGAAACACAATTCACGGAAAAAATTAACAAAAAATACAATATTTGTAAATCTATGAGAAAAGCTGCAGCCGCTTGTGCTTGCAGAGGATAAAAATACCAGTTTGGTCAAAAGTCATTAAAGTCCAAAAAGATTTATTTAGTTCCAAAAGATTACCAATTTATAAAGATTCTCTGTATAAAAGTCACTTTAGGCACATTCTTTGAGGTTTGTGGTAAAACGTTCCGAGGAAATTTCCCTTTTCCTAGAAATAACAACGCGACGAGCTCTCTCTGCTTGACGTAGTGTTATTACACTACATATTACACACAAAAATTGTCTGGGGTTTTGTTCTTAAACCAAACCTCCAAACTGTTAAAGTAGAAGCATTCCTCAATAAGTTCTCTGAAAAGTTTCCATATTTAGTCATTACAATAAAAAAGATATCGATCCATGCCGGAATACTGCGAGGTGAAGAAGTATGCGATTTGTGCTGCTGGGTATTACCGCGCGCAAAGTAAAAGCTCCCTCGGGTCGTTGCTAGTACTCGAATAAAGGGACCGACCTAAGTACGCTCTATATTGTGATCGCAATGATTTATCTCTGGCACAGCTTAAGATGAAATTAAAAAAAAAAAACTCCCTTGATATTTTAGACACATTGGGCTGCATGCATAAAGTAAGCTTTTAAGCTCAAATAAAATGTATACCGAAAATCGAATCGGAGCTTAAGCTCAATTTTTATCAGGGACAGTAACGGTTATAATCTTTATAAAAAAAAATCATAATTTAACCGTTAAAATTGGATTTATATTTTTCTGAACAAATTTAACAGTTATTTATAATATTTAACCGACTTCAAAGGAAGAAGGGGGTTATCAATTTGTCCGAATATTTTTTTATATATGCAAGGTTGTACCTCAAGGGTGGTCCCATTCTGATTTTTAGATGAGTATTTAAGTCGGCCGTCTTTTTTTTTTGTTTAAAAATTACTAGTTATTTTTCGATCATATTAATTTTTTAGATCATAAAAGGTTTAAATCTGTCATAAAAACGCTGAGTCCATCATAACGGTTAAAAATTATCGAAAAAAACTAAAATCCAAATTTAAAAATCTAAATAAAAAAAAAACCATTTTGGAATGATCATAAAAAAAAATCTTTATTATTTTTTTTCGCTCACTGATTTTTATGCTTGAGAGGCAAATTATCTTTCACAGTCTACTTTATTGATTTTTGTTTTTAATTGAAAATTTATTTTTAAACACTAAAATATTTTCAACTTTATCTGAAAAAAAAACAAACGTTGTTAAGAAATTTGTTCATTGATACTGCAAATTTTTTTATCTTTAACTTAAGTTTAGTTCATTTGATACCTTACTATGCGCTATAGCTCGTTCGAAAAATATTAAAAGCTTGGAAAAAGCCTTTTCTTCTTTCGCCGCATCAAGTAGAAGTTTTTAATTTCCAATTTCTTAGTTGGAATATGAAAATTATATACAACGTACTCGCCGTTTACTTCGTGCATGGTAAGGTAACTGAACTTTTTTTTCATTTCTTAAAGCGGATTCAACGTGTTCGTGTTTGGATACTTTTTGTTAGTAATTTAACACGCTCTTTTTTTCTTTGATAGCGAAAATTGCATGTAGTATTTCTTCTTAAAATCATGGTTCCGTCTGTTGGCAACAATACCATCAGCGTCAGCGTCCGCTGCGACAAATAAAAAGCTGCCCGGACACCAACGTTTAATCCGCATTTAGTTTTTTTTTTTTTTTTTATAAAAGCAAAGCTGGAAATTGCTGTCTGCAAATAATTTCTATTTTTTTTTTGTTGTTATTGGAAATCACTTTATTTTATAAGTTCATTATATGAGACTGGTTGACAGAATAACATCACACTGGTTAAATTTAAACTACCCAGATTTGTTGAAATTATTTAATTTTTTTTTTTGTAATGCAAGACTCTTGTTTGGTTTTCCTATATAATTTCTCTTCTTGTTAAATTTGCAAATGTTTATTTTATTTAACTTTAACACCCAGTTTTCTGCACTGCTTAAACTAATTTAAGTAATAAAAGTTTGTTAAAAATTTTCTTTAAATTTTATTCTTTAAGTATACTATGAAATTTTAATAACTTATAAATTATTATTATTTTTTCCACAATAAATATATTCAGCCCTATCGCCAATTTCGTGTGAATAAATCTTTCCCATAATTTAACATGCAAAACAAAAACAAATTTGGGAAAAATTGTTTTTGTTTTGCTTTATAATTTTTGGGAATATTTGTTCATGTGAAATTCGCGATAGGGCCGAATATAAATTGCAAACTAAATTAAGTGGAAATGTTAAAGTTTTGCTGCTGATGTACTGATTACCTTTGAATTGTGAGTATTTAAATTTAAAAATTTTAAACTAGCGAAAATTTGGGGTTAAGCTTGAAACTGTAAGCAAAAAAACAAAAAACAAAATGCTAAGAATTTTGTATACAACGCAAATTAACCAAATTTAATCGAAGCTTCGGCAGCGAACACTTGTGTAACGAGGTAAAAACGACTGCATATTTCCGTTTCCAATTTCTGATTTACCTAAGTTTTTCTAACGCCGCGAAGCTAGTTGCTAACAAAAAATGTTTCATTTATAAAAATATACATACTTCTATGCGCAAAAGCAAATAAGATTTTTTTTAAATATGAACTTTTAGCAAAGAGTCGTAAATTGGAGTGCAGAAAATTTGTAGATTTATTGTAAAAAAGAGTTAAGCAACGCAAACAATGCAACGGTAAAAAGTTATTCAATGACAAATTCAACAGTAAACAATTAAAAAATATATATACATAATACCAATTTAAAAAAAAGCAACACAGATATACATATGTAAAATATAGCAAAAATCGAGAAAAAATAAGCAACAAAAATTGTAACACAAAAATGAAATAAAATAATAAAGTATGAAATATGAAAAGTAGGGAAGGAAGTATGCAATTTAGTTAAAAAATATTTACCAATTAATTATAGTAATATGTATAAATAATGTAAATGCTAGCGGAAAAATAATTGAACATATAATGAAAAACAACATTAATTTAATAAATAATTTAATGATAGTACATACATATTTATGAATTAAATATTGCAAAAATCGTAAAATAATATTTGAAATTAAAAAATAAAAATATATACATATTATATACATGTATAATAATTACTTTAGATTAAGTGCAACCGGCAAACAATTCACGTTCAGGAAAACATTTAAAAGTTTATTACTTTAAATTGCAATGTAACAAACGACAGTTTGTGAAAAAATAAAAATAAATAAAAAATAAAACTTATAACAAATTTAAACAAAAAAAATATAAATATTATTTAACGCATGTAACAGCTGTTTCGAACAATGCAAAAAATGTATGTATGTATGAATAAAAAATCAGTAACAACAACAAATAATGATGGCATTTAATTAATTTATTACCAGTTAATAACAAAGCGTCAAAAAAAAAAAAAAATATTAAACAATGCAGAAATTTTTAACAAGATCAGAAATGCAATATAATAGTAGAGTAAAATTACATAAGAACGCATAAGCAGCGTTAATAGTATATGGAGGAGAAAATTTTGAATTAAAAGAAAAAAAATGGTGCTCTTGAAAATGTTTGGAAAATAGTAAGCAAATAAAAAATCGGTGGAATTAATAATTATAAAAGGTAACAGATAGTATAGCGACGCTGACAAGTGGCGACAAGTGCACTCGGCTTGGTGATTTGAAAGATGGTTGTTGCCGACACAAAGGCAGCGTTATACATTAGCTTTTCCGAATTTTTAGCTATAGTTCGAATCCAGCACGTGCGTTCAACATCCAAAAAGTTTTATCTAATATACGTAATAATAATAATAGATTGGCGCCTTTCTGTGGTCACATACAGAGGAGGGACCTACAGTTTTACACCGTCTTCGAATGGCGCACAGTGATTCCTTCAGAATAAGCTAGCTGGATTTATATGACTGTATCCAATCACGTTATATACACACTGTGCAATAAAAGTGAAATCGGGGCTTGTCTGTATATAACATCGGATCTATATATCGAGCCCTAACTGCCAAAAAGATGTAGGCGACAATTGTTTCAATATTTAATTTTTAATGCGGAAATGCATCTAGATGCTGGAGGAATATTTCTGCATCGAAAAAAAAATTTCGAAAACAATTTGGCTGACATCGTTTTGGCGATTAGGGGTCGATATATATGTAGATATGTATATTTTTTACCTATAGATTCAGAAACTAAGAGGCCGATCTCTTTGGAGTTTACACACTTAATTTAAGGAAAATTTAGAAGTGATTTGAGCTGTACAACAATTTGATATCTCGACCCGTTCCGGAGATATCGAACAATATGTAAAACAGTGTATGCTAAAATATGGATATCCAACAATAGGTATTTGCGAGATGGTAGAAATTCACTCGGCGGTTTGCCATCATTGGCTGCCGAGGGGCGTCCGCTATTAGAAAAAACTTGGTATTTTCCTTGGTTTTTGATATTAGTTGGAAACTGGGCTCGCCCCAGGACCTACGGAATGGTGGTGCGCACTTTTAACCACTAACGTCACATCGGCCCCATCTATGTACATATAGTATATGTGTGGTCAGAAGCAATAACCGTCTAAGTCTACTTAAGAAAGAATTGGGTTATATATGCCATCGTATTCTGCTACTAGTATTCCATGCGTATGTGAAATTCCCCTCTCACCAGCTAGGCTATTTATAAAGCTAAAGGCGAAAATATTTTGTTTTATATTACAATTCAAATCTTTAAATCGTTTTTTCGCGAATCCACAAAATTTCGATTCGAATTACGTTCGATATCGAATGCCGCGATTCTGGGCCCGACGAAATTTTTTCTGCCTTCGTTTGAAACCCAATTTATCATTGGAAAGGTATTTTTCTTTCGATGACGAGAGCTAAGAGGAAAATTAATATAAAGACGAAGAAGAATGCAAAGACGAGTAGAAAGACGAATACGAAGAACAATATGGATACGATGACAAATACGAACTATTAGTTGATAACGAAGACAAATACAAGGGCATATATGGACACAAATATGAAGATGAGCACGAATACGTGCATGAAGGTGAAGACGAATACGAAGACTAGGTCGAATACGAATACGTAGACGAACCGAAGACGAATTCGAATACGACGATGAAGCTGAATACAAACTCGTATACGAGGACAAATACGAAGATGTATATCAAGATGAATTCAAACACGAGGACGAATACGAAAATGTTTGCGAAGACGAATAGAACAGCACTGAAACGAATACGGAGATGAATTCGAAGACAAATACGACGATGAAGTCGAAGTTGAATGCGAAGAAAAATGTGACGACGAATACGAATACGGATACATTCCGAAGACGAATACAAATACGAAGACAGCGACTAAAACGAACACGAAGCTGAAGCTGAATGGGAAGACTAATCTAGGCGAATACATATGCATATACATGAAGATAGCAACTAAAGCGAAGACGAATAAGTTTTCGTAGATACAACTTCGGGACGGCCGAATTTCGGCAGTAAGTTGCTCTTCTGGTATTATAGTTATAATTTGAGTACAAATACAAATTAACATTCTACCAAAGAGTTTTATTTTTCCGCTCAACTATTCGTATCTTTATACAAAAATATTTGGCATCTTCTGAAAGTCAGAAGTACACTCAAACGTTTGCGATTCCCTTCCGAGGAGCGACCACGTAAGAAAAGAAGATTTAGTTGGATGGTGCTTGAACCAGAAATCCAACCTGGGTCCTACCATATATATATTCATATGTAGTTCCAATAATTAGTTGTCCACTGCTCGCAAGTTACCCGTAATTATATAACGGAAGCAGTTAAAATCAACATTTTTCCAAGACCCTTACGGATAATGCGTACAACTGTGTCCTACATAAATATCACAGACTATATTCATAACCGTAGCAGTCATGAATTGACCACCTTGTAGCACCTGGCGAGCCTGTGGCCTAGAATAGAAAAGTCATTTGTTGCAGGCGACCAAGCCTCTTTGGGGGGAGTCATTAAACAAGGGCGCAGAAGGGACGCTAACGGGACTCGCCGCGTCAAGCCCGGACCTCACTTACATATTAGACGTTCTCTTAAAGTCCTATTCGCCCGCAAATATAATTCAATGATTCATAGACATGGACATATTTTAGAACCAGTCTTTACTATAAAAACTTGAAGTCCTCTAAAGAAACTGATTTTTGGTCGGAGATAGTTGCTGAGTTTCAAAAGGTTACAACAATTGACAAACATATTTACATATTTGTATATATGTAAAGGGAAATCCTCTCGAACCTCCAAGTCACCTTACAGACTTCTATTCCATACTGTAGCCGTCTCAGTGATTTTCTTCCTCTTGATTGGCGCTGTAGCCACTTAAGTGATTTTGGCCGAGTCCAATAAAGTACGCCAACTTACGAAAATTGGAAATGTTCCCTGCTACTAGAAGCGCGTCCCACACTACTTTCAGAACTGGAATTATTGTAAGAATAACCTAACCATTAATCGAAGACTATCCGATCATGAAGACTGAAGTTTCCCGTAAAAGAAACTGAAAATATGAAGCAACCGACGAGCTGGTTTCGATATTATGGTAAGAATGTTGAGTCTCAAATCTCGTCTTTGTTATTAACGTTCAGACTGCGGTTAAGGGTCTTAGCTGGTCCACGAAAAACCAGATTTGAGATAATCTCTTATACAATACATTGCTTCGGGAAGTGAGGAAGCTGACGAGTGCGCGAGTGGAGGGACTCTACATAGACACTTGTATAATACAGCCACAGCTCGTTTTTAGTTTATAGGAAAGAATATCGGCTTTTGATTGCCCTTCTTTCTTTTCGTTAACACTTCAAGATTTTTCAGACACTTCAAGATTTTTTGGACTTTCCATGATTTTTGAACTGTTCAAGATTTGTCGGACTTTGCAAGACTTCAAGAATTTTCGGGCGCATTACACAGAAAAATCTTCCGTTATCTAGAAGGACCTAAATAGCTGTGGCACCGTCTTATTCAAGAAAATGCATAACTTCGCCACTGGGTTCGCCCAGCCCGCCTAACCTAACTATCCAAGAAAGAGAGGAATACTATTTTCAAAACCTTTGTTTCTATATCCATCTGAATATTTTTTTTAATCCTAGTTTAATTTGCTGCCAGCCGTGAAGACCAATTCCATTCAAATCTCAGCTGAAGTGCACTGCAAACACAGAGTTGCGTCTAAAAGGTATTGGCCAAATTTATCAGAAACACATTTTATAATCGAAAAAAAATAGTCTTAACCCAAATGTTTTTCAAACTCCAAACCAATAGCTCAGATATTCAGTCGAAGCGTTTCAATAGCGGGAATTTTAACAACAATTTGTATTGGAACACTCATAAAGTATTCGCATTCCTACTCAGGGTGAATAATAAAAACACATATGACATATACTTCGCGAATTATACAACAGGAAAAATATATTAAAAAAAAAAAAAAACAATAAACAATAAAAAACGAAATGTTTCAAGTGTCAACTTAAACCTTTTTTTCCATAAAATTTAGAAATAAATTTTTCACACACAAAAAGTAAAGTCGAGAAATTTATACACACAGCATAAAGTAAATAAAACCGAAATAAATAGTAATAGTTAACGATAAATATTTAACTTAAAGAAAAATTCCCAAAACATGGCACGCCTACTTCAAACTTTTACTTTTGAGGAACAAAAAAATACAGGAGCAAGAAAAAATCTTAATCATGCAAAGAAAAACACCAAATTTTAAATGCAGTAAAATTTAAATAATAACGTAAACTTTGTAAAAATATTCAACGTAGAAAAACTTATGCATACATTTGTATAGAGAAAAGGCAAAGAATTTTACCACCTCAGCGAAATAAACCAAAACAATGTAATGCCGATAATTTAGTAACATGAAAATTATTTTAAAATATTGCAAAAACAAATAAAGAACATACGTATGTAAATGCAATGACAAAAACAACAAATGCATTTTTTTTTTAATTTTTGGTATCTTTCTCTCCTTTTGTATGATAACTGTTTTCCAATGCTAATTGCAAAAAAAAAATTAAAAAAAAATATAATACAATATTAAAAAAGCATAATTCAGGAAAGCCAAATATTTCGGCACAAGGTATTAAATAATAAATTACAGTTTAACGGCAAATTAAAAGGATAAAGTGTAAAAAAAATTGCACCCGAAAAAAAATAGTATGAAAAAAAAATATATGAATACTTAATAACAAATCTGTTAGTATGTATGCATGTATATCATAGCGAAGCGCAGCACCGAATATACATACAATAGTAAAATGAAAATTAAATAAAGCATTACTTAATTATATAAAAAAAAACACAAATACACTTATTTGTTAAATGCATTTG